ATAATAAGTGAAACCTCAAAGTGAGGCTTGAGAGCTGTGTTTGATATAGGCAAATAAATCATAAACATTGAAAAGTTTTTTCTTGTTACATTTAGCCAGACTTGTCTGCCACATAGTACATTAGTAATATACATATACATATGTACATATATACAAGATTATATATACTGATTTGTGATGGTTGACTAACTGCCTGACAGAGCCTGCTGGCTATGAACAACAACAACAATAACAGCAACAGGATGCGAACAACAATAAAAATAACAAGTAAGAAGACTCTAGTCGAGACTGCTCGACTAGGAGATACCCTGAACCCTCTAATCTGATATTCTAATCAGTCTGCACTTCTTTTCGACAAACATACATACACACACACGTATTAGAATGCGCTCTGCTAAATGCGCTTGGGCTGCGCTGTAGTGTAGTAACATTATAAGAATTTATTTGTTGAATAATTTAATTTCTATACGTACAATCTTAATGAAAGTTTCAGGGCGTAATTATATGGTGAAAATGTATGTACATTCCAAAGCACATGTCTCTAGTACTTGAAATACGCCTTTTACAAAGGTGAGGGTGAGGGGTTGGATATAGGGGTGAGGGGTACATTACAACAAAAATCGAAATTATATAAAATACATATAAGTCTACATTTAAAATTTGCAAGCTCTAGCTCTAAAGGTGTAGGAGATATAATTAAATAACTAGCTTTCGATAAGGTTTTTGATCGATAATAAAATATCGGGAGTAGTTATCGATATATAAAGAAAAACTTGATATGCGCGTGATATACACGGACCTAGGAAAAAAATTTCAAGTCTCTAGCTTTTATATCTTCTGAAATCGACGCGTTCATACATACGGACGGACGGACGGACGGACGGACGGACGGACGGACGGACGGACGGACGGACGGACGGACAGACAGACGGACAGGGCCAAATCGACTTAGCTCGTCGCCCTGATCAAGAATATATATACTTTGTGGGGTCTGCCACGCCTCCTTCTGCCTGTTACATACTTTTAACAAAACCATTATACCCTGATTTCCCATTTTCAATGGGTTCAGGGTATAAAAAGAAAATCACTTGACTTTTCCTAGTTGTCCTTGTCGCTTACAGAGAGAGAGAGAGAGAGAGAGAGCGACAAAGAGAGAGGGTGAGAGGGCAAGTGGTGCTTGTTTAGGTCTAAAGAGGAGGGTGGTAGGGGGGGGAGGTTGCAGCTCTGTTCGCTGGGGCCGTGGGCTTAGATGGTGTCAAAAACTTGAGCGCCTGTTGACACACACGCGACACACTCGAGCTCTTCGCCGGGCGGAATGGCAGCGCCAGACTTTGTGGATAGCAGAACGGAATGGGGGTGGGGTACGGTTGCTTAGGAGGGGAGGGGGGTTTGGTTTGCTGCTTGTAACCGCCAAAAACATTTTGCTAACGATTTATGTCCGTTGCATGTTCTTCGACCGAGAAACTGTAAGATAAATTTTAGCTACTTTTTCAGTTGCAGCGCACACACATCCTTGACTCCGCGTCCTGCATCCTGCATCCTGCAGCCTGCAGCCTGCAGCCTGCAGCGTGCTGCCTTCTGCCTTCTGCCTGATGCCTGATGCCTGCTGCGTGTATCTCTGTAGTTAATGGCGCATCCCATTCTTCGGGTCACATGTCAGCCAGACGCCTGCAATTGCTGCAAGCAATTAGTTTGGAATTCTCCAACGTTCAGCGGTTCACTGAGAGCTTAAGAAGGTTAAAGAGCTCTAGAGTAGGATTACGAACTGACTGGAAGACTGGAAGTACATATATGAATTTCCTAAACATTTATATATATTAATTAGATTTTTAGCGCTCTTCTTAATAATTACCAGAGTAGCTAAAGAGGTGTTCAGTATATTTGTTTTTATAGTAGTATATAGAAACGAGTGCAAAATATTTGTGAATTTCCTTTAGTTATCCTCTAAGTGAGATAGTTAAACACAGTATGATATAGAGGGCAAGAATATGAATTTCCTTTAGATTTCTTTATATAAATGAGATTTTAACTCTCTCCTCAATAATTCCCAAAATAGCTAAAGAGCTCTACAGTAGAATATTGAAGCGACTGCAAGATATTTGTGAATTTTTCTTTAGTGTTTCTTTATAAAACTCTAGTTATCTTCGAAGTTAGTTAGTTAGTTATTCAAATTAGTGGTTGAAAATAATCAAGAATTTTAAGAACTTTAAAGAGGTCTAAGGTAGGATATAGAAACGAGTGCAATATATTTATGAATTTCTTTTAATTTTTCTTTATATTCATAAAATTATAACTCTCTCCTCAATCATTCCCAAAATTAAAGTTAAAGAGCTCTACAGTAGAATATTGAAGCGCCTGCAAAATATTTTTGAATTTTCTTTAGTTTTTCTTAATATTAATTAGACTTTAGCTATCTTCTCAATAAATCCCCAAAGAGTTTTTGACAAGCTGGCAATCCTTGTCTTCTTCACTCCGTCAGGCATCAAAGAAATTTTGTTGAATTCGCTCGGCTAACTGGCCAAGGGGACAGCTGTTGGCCATGTGGTAACAGGCGAGCTGCAGTAAAACTTTTAATTAAACCAACTTTAAGCTTTTAGCTCTGCTGGTCAGGGCTGTCAACGGACACACACACGGGCCCAGCAGGCGGGACCCATGTTTAACACTGAAGTGAGCCGGGCCCGGCAGGAGGAGTCGTGGTAGCAGACCGACATTAAATCTGTTCTCTTACAATAAAATTTTTGGCATTAACACTTTGGCCAGTGCTTAAAGCAGATGGCATGTGAAAAGTAAAAAGAGAGAGAGAGAGAGAGAGAGAGAGAGAAACAGATTCAAGCTGCTGGATTTAAGCCTAAAAACGTGTGGCAGAACAAGGCGGGCAGGAGGCGAGAACGGCAGAAGGGGAGCTGCTACAACCGCTGTCAGTTGTCTGGCGAAGCGACAAAAAATGATGTGCATATACATGCCTGTATATGTATGTATATGAGCAGCTGGCCAGCTGGCCAGTTGGCCAATACACGGAAAAGCTGGCCAACTAACCGGCTCGTCCCTTTTGTATTCCCAGTTACACCTACAAAAGCGACAGCTGTGCATCATGGCCCATGACTGCCTCCGCTTCTGGTAGGTGTCAGGTTTTAGTAGGCTTTGGACATAGGAAGTCAGCCGCCTCCGCCTTCAGTGGCACTTCACATTTTGGGTTGCAACTGGTGCCGCTTGCGGTCCATAGCTGTCTGTCCGCTGTCAGACCCGCAGCAGCCCGGCCCCAAGACCCTCAATGTTGTTTACTCGCCTATGTTGCGGCTTTCTATTTGAGTTCGGTATTAGTTCTTCATGATGTGACGGTCGTTAGCTTATTATGAGCTACGAAATCGCAGCCATTGTTAACATGTTGCATGCGATAAAATTTCTACATTGCAGCGAGTTTTTTAACAGCTCTGTTAAGGCGGGTTTGTGTCTACGCTAAGCGGAACAGTGGAAACAAAGTCTGTTGTTGCTTACAGAGCGTTGTTGTGTTGTCTAACAGAGCTCTGTTAAGTGCATAGCATGACAATGTTAAGCTCAATTGCAAATGAATGATGCGGAAGATCCAAATAAACCTGTAAAACCACAATTTTTGGGAATATTTCTAAGTTTATAAATTTGATTAGTTTTTATAGTTACATAAATATTATTATAGATTCATGTATTTATATATAAAAATATTTTGTTTTGTTTATTTTATTCATAAATAACAATGTCTTAACACCGTCTTTTTTTGGGTTTCTAATATTTAAAATTCATGGATTTTTGCATGATATGTTTAAAAAAAAATTGTTTAAAATTTTTAATAAAATATTGATTTTGTTTTTTATTTTTGCAATATTTTTCTGTTTCTTAATTTTGTATAATAATCATAATTATAATGTATTAATTATAGATATTAATTTTTATAGTAATCAGGATATTTAAAATTCGAAAATTCAAGCTCCTAAGGTTCTCAGAGCTAACGTAAGTTTCTAATTAATTTGGCAAATACAGGCAATAAATACGCTTAGTTAAACAATTCGCAGCAAACAAAAATTAATTGTGCCGTCTCACGCATCATTTTATCACCGCCCTTATTCACTTTTCGCACCCAAGCACGCAAAACAGAAATTTGAGGCAAGAAGATTTTTTGACACGCTTCTCTTATTTATGGCGAGGCGAGCGAACAAAAACAAAAAAAAAAACCAACCCAAAAAAAAAAAAAAAAAGAGTAAAAAGACAAATTCCGTCTTTACTAAATAAACAAAGTAAAAGATTCATAAATTGCAGCGCCAAAGCCGGTCAAGCAGCCGAGTGTGTGTGTGAGAGAGAGAGACAGAGGTGGGGTAGAGGGTGGCAGAGCGGCGCAGGGGGAGGGGAAGGCAGAGTGTTGGCCACGCGTGTGGCAGCTGCGTGCTTGGCTCAGCTGTTAGGTTGTGCATTTCGGTTTTGCTTTTTGGCTAAGCATTTTTTAAGTTTTCGGGCGCGCCCTTTTATTTTTGGCTGCAAAACATAAAAGATGAGAAAAAAAAAAATAGGAATAACGAAATACTCACCGCTTGCTAGCGGAGGTAAACAAATGTGCTTGGGCACGCTTAACAGCGATGGCAAACGCGGTTTTATAGCAGCCTTTCAGGCGGCGCTGTTAACGCTCTCTCACTCTCTCTGTCTCTCTCACTTTTACTCTCTCTATTGATTTGTTGTGCACAGCTGACGCATGCGCCAGCTCAGCTCAGCCAGACACCGGCCATATAGGCAGGCATACAGGGTGCTTGGCAAAACAAAACAAACGCTAACGCAACCCCTAAAGCAACTGCCGCCATAAACAAACCCCAAGTTGGGAATGCGGCAGGCATGTGCCTGCGTGTGTGTGTGTGTGTGTGTGTGTGTGAGAGAGAGAGAGAGAGTGAGAGTGGGCGAGTGAGAGCGGACTGCAGCTTTGCAGCTTTTATAGCATCTGGTAACATTTCGCTCACTGTTGTTCTCTGTTGGCTTTGCAGGGGTGGTATGTGGATAAATTTTAGCCGCCATGGATCCCAGTGCTCTACAAAACATGGATCGGGACGCATTAAAGAAGCAAATCGAGAATATGAAATATCAGGCCTCCATGGAGCGCTGGCCGTTATCTAAAAGCATTGCTGAGTGAGTAGCCTCAATTCAATAGTATTTATTTAATAATAACAAATAATTAGCTGTTAATAAAAGTGTTTAAACTAAAAACAAACAAGTGCTAAAGTTAACTAAATAATAAAAAAAAAAAAAAATAAAAAAATTATTTCACACTTTCTGCTACAAATTTTACGCGTGTGCTAAATATGTGAGAGTGTGTGCCATGTGTGTGTGTGTGTGTGTCTATGGCTCTTGCGAGTTTAACACAAATTGAGCTCAAGTTTGTCTAGACGCGCGTCCCAGGCAGCAGTTAGCTGCCATTGCTGCTATTCCTGCTGCTGCTGCTGCTGCTGCTTCCTCCCAGGTTGACACAGTGCTTGCGTTAAATATTCATACACGTGCCTCGCCCGCAGACTCGAGACGGTGGGGCAACACCTGAGTTGAGTGCTTGTCCGGCAGCTGTGCTGTTGCTTGTTGCTAAATATTTACATAAATATAAAGTTGTAGTTGTTGTTGTGTCTGCTCTGCTCTATGCACAACAAGTTACAGCTACTAATATATCTATACATGTATATGCTTGAGTGTGTGTGCGTGTGACAGACAGTGACTAGACGAAATTCCAAAAACATGAACAATTTCGCTGAGCGCATTTTTTCATAGCTCACTGTCAACACGGAATTGAACTGCTTTAACCCGTCGGCTAAATCAGTTTGATAAAATCTTTTCAAAGCATAGCATACTGCTGGTTATAGCTATATATAAAGATAAAGATACAGATACAGATAGCAAAGATAATATATTGAATATATGCTGTAATATATATTAAATTTTATGTGACATCTCTAGATGTCTTGACACTATTTAAAATAGCGGAATAATTAGCGAATATGTAATGGGATTTATTTTATGGAGCATAACGAGGATATTTATCTTGATTATATATGGTTAAATTTTATTGATTAAATTTTGTTATTAATTCATTGTCTTTGATTACATATTTATTTGATTTTATTTATTTAATTTATTAATTCATTTAAAGGTTTACTTAATCTTACATTTCAATAAATAAATAAATATTTGTATATTTGTTTATTATTATTTTATTTAGTTTTTTTTTTTTTTTTTTTTTTTTTAAATTTATTGCATTAATTCATATTATTCAGTTTTTGGCATTGATGTATCTTACATCGAGTCTTGCAGCATTCAGCTTTTGTCATGCAGCCGGCCTAACTCAAGTTTCAAGTTTTGTTTCAGAGGCATTCATGGGGCTATGGCTTTTTTCTGAACGAGTAAGTTATGTGCGTAATGTGTATCACATTTAAGAACTATAAATTGTTTCATTCTTGAAAGAACTTCTGAAAACATTCGTGGGAATCTTAAATTGTAAATACATAAATATATATATAAATTGTATATATATATATTATATTATATATATGACACCATAAAATGATTCATATCGGTAACCATGATTTGTACTCTGACTAAACGGTTCTTCAGTTGACTGATATTCAATTTCATTTCTCAGTTTTACTCTCTTCCATTTCTATTTACCTAGTATATTTTCAATGATATGCTGAAGATATGAAGAGTATGCTGCTTTAAAGCAATACAAACTAATTTAAGGCATAATACGTTCACACTATTTTTCACCTTCAGTTTTCACACTTTGGTCGAAACGCAAGCAAGCGATTTTAGCTGTCGCGTTGCCAGATATTATATACATACATATCGTAGAGCTGAAATGTGAAATCGTTCAGCTGTAGTATTCTAATGATAATTAATTGTAATTCGAGAGCACCGGCTTAGCACGATCTTGCCAACTTAAGAGAGCGAGTGAAGCATGAGAGGAATATAGGGAATATAGAACGAATTTAAAATATCTTTAGAAATATAAATCTCAGATGAAACAAAATATACCCCTCCAAATATGTTGAGATCATTAGGTATATTTGTAGCTTCTATTGCGTATAGAATTATATATTATAAATGCTTTTTAAATTGTATAAACTCAAGTTTACATAAATAAACCAATATAACATAATTTAACATTTTCATAACGGGAAAAACATTAAAAAATAAAAAAAATTATGCCAACTACGAATTTGTTGCTAGGCCCAACAATCTGTATTCTTATAAAAAGAGATTAAAGACTTTATGAGTATAAATCTTAAAAGTTTGACAGCTTCGACTTATCAATGGAATTGCTCGATTCGCAATTCTAAAAGCAAAAACTTATTTTTTTTTTTTTTGAACTTACGATTTAAGACTTTCTTTGCTTTTGCTATATAAGTCCGTAAGTCTAAGGTCAACGCCCTACTTTTGTATGGTTTTAGTAAACCCCAACTCTGACTCGCTTTTCACAAATTAGCACGCTGACTGATGAATGCTACTGTTGAGAGTTTCTGTTTTTGTTTCAGTTTCAGTTTCTCTCAAATTCTGCTTCCAGTATTTCTTCTCCTACTCTCCAATCGAAATTCTTTTAGTTTTGTTTTTGCTAATTTGAAGAAAAATTTGTCAAATGGCATTTTCATGGCGCGCAACAGCTAAACGCCGCACATAAATCACAACAAATTCGACTTTCCCACACTCTCTCTCTCTCTCTCTCTCTGCAACTTTTAAATATAGCTGAACCGCAATATAAACAGCATTTGGATTGTTGGCCAACAACTGTGACTGCGATTGCCTTCAGAGTCCCGTTTCAAATAAAATGTACGCTGTCAAGGCATTTGGATAAACATTTAGTCCGCGGCTAATTATGAATAATTAATTGCTCGCATTTCGGCAATCCAATACTGGAAATCCCTTGCGGCTCTCGCATACCTCAAGTGAGCTGCTGCTGTGCGTCGCTTTACGTTAATTATTTGAAAACATTTCATACAACACCTTCGGAGCCTCCAGTTGCCTAGTCCAAACGCGGTTTAGCAATTAGCGAGAATCCCAGCTGAATGCCGTCGTTTCTCTCTGCTCTCTCGTTGCCTCATTTAGAGTCTCAGTCTTAGTGCCAGCTGCTGCTGCTGCTGCTGTTGCTGCTGCTGCTGTTGCAGGTGTTAATTGCTAAAAGCAAATCTATTTATCATAATTACGTTGATAAACACGAGCTCAACTTTGTGTGCTCACCTTTATGTCACTGTTAAGACTTGAAATCCATTTAAAAGCACAGATTTAGTTACAGATTATGTTCCCTTCTGGCTCTCGCTCTCTCTCTCTCTCTGTCTTTCTCTCTGTCTCACTCTCGTTTCAGTTTAATTTTAATTTGCTACGTTTATAAAAACATTAAAAGGCTTTTCGCGGTTGGCTGTGCCGGAATTCCTAATTTGGGTCTGCCATAAATTTAAAATAGGTTTTCAAATGAAAATTAAAATAGCATTTAATCTGTGTCTTTCAGCTTCGCCTTTCCTCCATTGAAACGAAATTAATTAAAAATCTTTTATTGTTTTAGGGTTAGTATTAATAATTTATCTCGTTCACATTCCCACCGTTGAGCTTCTCTAAAGTTAGACGTACATATATGGTCTGATATGAGCGAAAATACGATAAGGTTCGCTTAAAATTTTAATAGATACTGAAAGATTATATATATTTTATTTACAATCCCAGCTTTAGATGTACAATAATTTAATGCCTGAAGGCCTTTGTTGCTTTGACTTAAAACTTGTTATTTAGAATTAATTTTTTGTAACAATAAATAAATAAATACAATAATTTAAACTTGTATTTGGAGTAGGTTAATTATCGAATTGTTAGTTACACTCTTTGTCGTGCTTATATTATTGCTAACTGTAATTATTCAATTTTCAACATTTTTCAATAAGACTTAACAGTTTAAAGCTTAAAAAAAAAAAAAAAAAAAAAAAAAAACTATAAATAATCATAAATTAAATAATATATATATATAAAAAATAATTGCATATAAAATATTTCAAGCATTTAAATGTCTGATTTATGTGATATGAAAATTAAAACAATATTGTAAAGACAGCATTTCTTGCATTGAAGACTCGAACTGTTTTATGCAAATAAAATTAAGCAAATCTTAAATACTAAACATGAGTAACTTAAAACAATTTCGTGCCATGCACATTCTCTATGCACTCATGCTTAAATTTGTTTTGTTTTTCTTTATTTATTTTTTTTTATTTAAAGCCAGACTCAAGGCTCATTTTTCAGTCTTATCAGCTGCAGCGTTCTGCTTGCTGCCCTTCCAAGGGAAATTATTATGAAAGAGGATTACTTAAACAAGTTTCCATGCTTGAATAACATTATTGTCAAATAGATTCAATTGTAATTTCTTTAATCTACCTTTGATATTGATTTTAGCTCTTAGATATCTTTTATTTCTTATTATTATTGGATTATTCTTAAATTTTGAACAGCTAACAAATTACGTTTCCAGTTAGGCATTGAAATGTCATTCCCTTGCATAAATTCGCAATGCACTCAAATATTATTTATTTAATATTGAACAATTGACAAACTTAACTTTTCTCTGTTTGATTTGTGTTGGCAAAGTTACGTGAATATTTCATTGAATAATATTTGTCAACTATAAACCATTTGTTTTTTATTTATTCTGTCTCGTTGAAATTTGACAGTGACCTGGCTTCTCCCTCAAAAAATAAAGAACAACCAACTGAAAAGTCAAACAAAGAATTCTCAACTGCAAACAGGAAAAGAGAAAACATTTTCTGTTATATCGTATAAATGTGTTTGCTTGGTTTGCGATAATCGATGTAAGCCAAACTCAAATACGTCGCACTGAAACTTTTAACTGAATTGACAGCCAAACATTACCAACAACAACAACAACAATAGCTGTGCAAATTGGTATAAAAAAGCATGACAAATGCAATTTCGTCAAGCGATTTGTATCTGATGTTCATAGCACTTAGCGCAAGCATCAATCCAATTTCCGAATACATCAAACATTTGTCACTCAATCAGCAGCAAAACGGACCAAATTAGACAACACACACACACACACACACACACACACACACACACATGCGCACACACACATCTAAACAGTGGTC